GGGGGGGGGGATCATTTAGCTCAGTGGCCTCAAACTAGGGTTTGTGAGCCATAGATTGGGTAATTACATTAACACATTATGGTACCTGGCATGTAGTGGCACGTAAATGCATCATCTGCGGTTGAGCTAATTAGCACAATGGAAAAATATTTAAGTCAGTTCACATTACTAAGTAATGCAAAAGCCAAACCAGCTAAAATTAGAAAGTATGACAACATTTACCTCGATCTTGGCTTTATCGAGAATGGCAATGGAAGACCAAAATGTGTTGTTTGTCTTCGAGTGTTAGCAAATGAAGCCAGCTAACCTAAAGCGGCATCTCATCACAAAGCAACCAGAGTTTTATCAGCATGAGGATTGTAAAGGGGTTCTTAAAAAATTTTTTTAAACCCCTGTAAGGGGTCCCTGGCCCCCAAACCAGAACCCCTGATTTAACTAAGATTGTTTGGTTTCACTTGTCCTGGTGAAAGTAACCCCCTCAATAGTGGCTTAGACTCCAATCTGAGCTGGGAAAAACCTGCACCCCAGCTGGGAGCAGAGACTTGGAAAATGATTTTCCTACTAAGACAATTCATGTCCATTATTTATTTATTTATTTATTTATTTTTTAATTTGTCACTTGTCAGTACATCAGCTTTCTACACCAGTGAACTTGCCTTACTTGATATTTAATTTATTATTTCACTTATTTCACGCAAGTTGGTGAACGAAGAGGGTGGTTTTGATGCAGTCTGCAGAGAACGCCGCTGGACTAAGATTTCCGTCAAGATGGGCTTTGCTCCAGGAAAGGCTATTGGCTCCCATCTGCGGGCACACTATGAGCGAATCCTCTACCCATATAACCTTTTCCAGACTGGAGCCAATCTCCCTGTACGTACTCTCACCTGTTTTCTTTTTACAGAGTAACAGTAGGCAGTCTGGTTCACAGCTGGCTGGATGTTTATTGGAAGACTCTGCAATCCATTAGTTTCTTCCAAGATGTACACAGGAGATGAACTCAGGAGCAATGACCGGGGACTGCTTGTTTGCAGGCTAAATGCACATGAAATTATTGGTTGGATTATAATGACAGAAAAATAATTATTTTAATGGAGTAAATGTGGAATATGATGGAAACAACAGCCTGGTCTTAAGCACTTTAGTGTCTTATTGAGTCTTCTCACCCACAGTGATACTGTGCACAGTTATCAAAGAGTAACGGGGGGTTTATTTTGTGATTTTTATTTTTTTTTAATTTATTTATTTATTTTGTGCTTCAGAGGTTAGAACAACCAGAGGTCTGTAGTACAAAGCAGGCATGTGAAAGTAACTCCAGGGTTAACCCTGGGTTTACAAAATTGCAATAGCAGTTCAATTCTTGCTGGAGTATATCTTCATGGTAACTTATACTGCAGACCTAACTGCCTCCTGAGTAAGCCATGTTCTAGTTTAGAGGTCAGCAGGTGTGAAATCTACACTTAGTGACTGATCAAATCTCTGGAAAATAGCGTCACCATTCCCAGAAGATTCCACACGGATGTCAGTGTGGATGGTCTAAAGAATAGGGCACCTATTTGTGCTTGTTGACCTTATATAAAATTTGCAAGTAGAGTAATTCTACATGTGAACAATGTCTTTATATTTAATCCTTACACTCATATTGTCAAATACCACTGCAGCTGATGGATTGAAAAGGAAAACTATCATAAGCACATCTAAACATTAATTTAATGGAACAACAATTATATTATCTGTCAGACACTCCCACGTCTTAATAATACAGCTGTGATACTAAGAAGGTTGTTAACTTGCAGTGTCAGCATTTTTGCCAGCTTTCCTTCCTGGTTTTAAATAGGCTAAACTTTAATGTAGTAGACCTTTTCCAGTCTCACTGGCCAAAGAGCTTAAAGTGCACACACATTAATACAGTCCTTTTCAGTGCTTATCCTGTTACAGACATTCGTACCGCTTATTTGTAATATACTTTAAGCCTGTTTTATGTTTTTCTTCATATTTTCCTAATAGATTTAGCTTTCTTTGTAAAGCCAACCATTCAGCCAGTGGACCTGTCCATGTTTGTTACTGGTCAGATGCCATTAATGTCACCTCTTTCATGTTAATGTGCTGGTAGCTAGATTGTGAAACCCTGGGTTATACTTACTGAGTTATGCGCTCAGCTTCATGTGACCACGTAACCTGATTGTTGATCTTAGGGTAAGTGAAACCAGATAACAGACAGGACATCCTGGTTATGTTAAATTGGCCTTGTAGTACAGATCTCAGGACTACAAAGCATGTAGTAATGTTGCTTAACCTTCATCCAGTACACACCAAAAACAGTGCACTTCAGTCTCTTGACAGTGTCTTGAAAGCAAATGAGTATGAAGGAATTTTATTTGCGCTTGATGTGCTTTTATTGTAAAAGTTTCCACCATGTAAATTCAAGTGTTTTATGACCTTCCACTATGCACACACCAAAATAAGGTGTTCTCAGAGTGACTTTTCCAGTGTAAGAAAGACTGATTTTATCCAACACAAATTCCTAAAAGTTAAAACTGACAGTAAAAATTCACTGGCAACAAATTTAGATGCAGGTATCTTGCAAGTTTGACTTAAACTATGAGATCTGTTGACAGATCTACACTCTGACTGACATTTCTTGTTTGATGTCTTTAAATAGAAGCACCACAGCGGTAAAATTTTGACTTTTTAATTTGGTGTCATTCACTTCTTCCTACAGGCAGCCACCTTGACCAACGACACTAAAGATAAGGAGTACACCCCTCACGACCTGCCGCAGCGCCAATCTGTCCAGCCCCAGGAGACCTGCAGCATTGCTCGCCGAGCCAAACGAATGAGATCTGAGGTGAGTCTGTCTGTCATCTTTGACATTTCCCTCTGAATCATAACTTCTTTGTGTTATGATTTTACTCTGAAATTCTTAAAACTCTATTTAATTGTTAGGCTTTGATTAACTCATTTTCACCTATAAGGTCAGGTCAATAATTGCTACTGGCTGCTGGCAGTAGAGTTTGTTCTCCAGATTTGTGGTTACTTTAAACAACTATGGCCTCCTTTAACCATCTGATCTCCAGCGAAGCTAATTGATGCCTTTGAAGCAGGCGAAGGCTATAAAAAGGTAGTTTACACTGACTGTAATGGAGGCTAAAGGAACAGTGAAAGTTGCAGCAAAACAGCAGGAACCAGAAAACCACATGTCTGCTGGGCATTTAGGCAAAACACAACTCCCTGTTGACTGCAGAAGAACTGCAGGAAGGCTTAGCTGACGCATGAGTAGTGGGCATTGTTCCAGTGTGCAGCATTCTTAATGACTCTCTGCTGCATGCGTTTGTTTTTTTTTAATTCATTATTAATTTTTTAAAAATAAAGTTTTGTGCATTTGTCTTGACAGGCTTGTGTTTCAGCTATAAAACAAGATGTTTCTATGTCTTGTCATTATGACAGCATTTTACTAGTTATATTCCCACATTAGTTTTAAAAGTACAGCTGACTCTGTTTCTGACTCTCGCTATCACTGCAGAGGGGCTATGTCAAAAGTGAACCCAGAGAAGTTTGTGAGACTCGTCCCAACCTGAGGAGGAGGATGGGAACATTTGTTGCCAAACCAGAACCTGGTAAGAAAAATAAACCTGACCTGTACTGATAGATTTCTAAATAGAAATAAATGGTTTGTGTAATGGGTCTGAGTGTTATTGGGGACTCCTGAAGCCTCCAATCAATGTTCGTCCTTGTCTTTCAGTGAGAATGGCAGTCACTGAGGTGAAAAAGGAGCCCATTGATCACAAGGATACAACTGAATATGAAGAAACTATATTAGATAAAATTATCAAACCTCCGGTGAATAAAGTAAATGTTTCCCTATGTACTAAATTTATTGCCCAACTACTTTGTTTTGTTACATGATTCAAACTTGGATCTATTTTGTACACAGTACATCCTCATAAGTGTTCTGTCTCATCAGGTGGACCACTACATGTGTCTGGTGTGTGGCAGTGGAAGCGCTGAGGACCGCCTGCTATTATGCGACGGCTGCGATGACAGCTATCACATCTTCTGTCTCATCCCTCCGCTCCACGATGTTCCCAGAGGCGACTGGAGATGCCCCAGGTGCCTGGTTGAGGTGAGCTATACCTCCTGCCCCCTCAGGAAGCTCAAGTCACCGTGAACTGGAGTGTAGTCTCCCATCTGACATGTACAATTATAGTATAATCCCAAGTGGCTTGTTTTAACTTCATATACCATCTTTTGGTTTTGACAGGAATGTGGCAAACCAGCTGTTGCATTTGGCTTTGAGCAGGCCAGCAGGAGCTACACCCTCCAAACTTTTGGAGACATGGCTGACTCCTTCAAGTCTGATTATTTCAATATGCCAGTTCATGTGAGTTTTCATCACACATACACTGAGTAGCCTTTAGTCTGTTTTGTTGATGCTTGCAGTTCATTTTAGTCAAAAGTAAAGTCTTTAAGTTCCAGTTTCTTGTTTCTGTTTATTGATGTTAGCAGCTTAATAGTTTAGAAATGTAAGCGTGAAGGTTCTCTATATACAACAAAAATGGGCTAAATGGACACTCACTGAATAATTCCTCTTTTTCAAACCATTCTCTATAAACAGAGGTGGTTTTGTGGGGAAAATTTCAGCATATCAGCAGTTTTTGAAATCCTTAAACCAGCCAGACTGGCACCTACAACCACACATGTTCAGTGTCATTTAAATCACCTTTCTTCCTCATTTGCGATACTCATTTGTAATAGCTGCTGCCATGTGATTGGCTAATTAGACACCTGCATTAATAAGCAGTTGACCAGACCTATCTAATGAATTGGCCAATGAGTTTATGCTCTAATAATGTCTTTTAACCAACCATCAACATAAATGAGAATTTCATCATATTTTTCAGCTCAAACATATGAGCACTAATATGAAACACATACTAGATTAAGTTATTACTAAGTACAATTATGATAAGTTGGGGAAGTGAAATAAATTTATTTAAATTTATTTCACTATTCAGAAATTTTAAACGCACACATACAGGCCATGATAGAAATAGAATAACAATAATCAGAAGTGAAAACAAAACAAATTAAGAAATTCTTTAATATGCTCCAGTTTACCAACTTTTTTTTTTTTTTTTTTTTTTTTACCGCGTTGTAAGCAACTTTGAGTATTTCTTACATTTCTTACCAGAAGTGATGTAAAACTAGTTTTCCCACAACTTTATTTATTAATACTATTGAATGACCTCCAAATGTGACAGCTTGCACAATCAAAACAGAGGCTGCACTGGCTCTTACTAACTGCTCTGTGTGCAACACCATAACGATGTACAAAATGAAAGTATTCCAGTGCACAAAAGTGCCATTTTCATCATAAATCAGTTTTTTAAAAAACAAGGAAAACGGCCCTGGATTCCATTATGATTATAAATGCTTTAATATAAATCCTTAATTAATTTTTTTCTTAATTCTATTAAGATGGTGCCTACTGAGCTGGTGGAGAAGGAGTTCTGGCGTCTAGTGAGTACCATCGAGGAGGATGTGACTGTGGAGTATGGAGCAGACATCGCCTCCAAGGAGTTTGGGAGTGGTTTTCCCGTGAGAAACGGCCATTTTGAAGTTTCTCCTGAGGATGAGGTACAAATTGTCTGTCATGGGAATGTATTGTGCCTTCTCTCTCTGAAAATGCTTTGTCTCTTTTTGTTTTCTTTAAAACATTAAATATCAATAAACCATAGAAAAAAAAATATAGTTCTCTATATAAGATTAATATTTTTATGTATATTAATGTTTTTAATTTCTCAAAGCATGGTAACTTTTACAGCTGAATTATCACCAAAAAAAGTGGTGTTAGATTTCTGGCAGGCAACAGTAAAAATAAGCATGACTGATGTTTGCAGTCGCATATTAAAAGTTTTCTGGGCTATATCTGAGTGAGTGGAGTATTTAGACCTGTGTCTTACCCGCAGCATTACCTGACCAGCGGCTGGAACTTGAACAATATGCCGGTCCTCGATGCCTCGGTGCTGACTCACATTACAGCCGACATCTGTGGCATGAAGGTACCCTGGCTGTACGTGGGCATGTGTTTTTCCTCTTTCTGCTGGCACATCGAGGACCACTGGAGCTACTCCATAAACTATCTTCACTGGTACAGTGGACTTTTTAACTCTATTGTGTAACTGTGATGATGATAATTTTTAATTTGGGAGATTGGATTGTTATTTTTTTTATTTTTTTTAACTCTAAAAGCAGTTTTGTGTGTATGTGTACATTAGAAACACATCTCATCTGAACTTCAAAATCAAGGAAAAACCAAACGGAAAGGAGTGTGTCACTCCATTGTGAAACTTATTTATAATGCATAAAAATGTGTTACATGCGGGGTTACTGTGATTGTTTTTTTGTTACTAAGAGGTTTATCCACATGTGCAGGGGTGAGCCTAAGACGTGGTATGGGGCTCCTGGTTATGCTGCAGAGCACCTCGAAGCGGTCATGAAGAAACTAGCTCCTGAGCTGTTTGAGTCTCAGCCAGACCTCCTTCATCAGCTGGTCACCATCATGAATCCCAACACGCTGATGAACAACGGCGTCCCGGTAAATAAAAACAGTGAAGACAAATGTGCGCATACATGATGTTCTCACACAATTATGGAAATCAAATTAAAAAGATTTAAATGTCAACATTGTTTAAACTGTTTTACTTACTCATTTGTTTTGAATTCATTTTAAAACAACTTCATGGAACATTTCTTGCTTGTATTTTCACCTGTAGATTTATCGCACCAACCAGTGTGCAGGTGAGTTCGTCATCACTTTCCCCAGAGCTTACCACAGTGGATTCAACCAGGGTTTCAACTTTGCTGAAGCGGTCAACTTCTGCACAATGGACTGGGTAAGAAATGTTTGTACTGCATCACATAATACTATACTTAGTTTGCAGTTTGTGTCACTAAGCTTAATCCAGGATTAGACCCTAAACAGAAGCTTGTTTATTACTAATATTACTGTTTTGGCGCCACATGATTGACTCATTCCTCTTGAACACCCCTTGATCTCCATGTTTTCTGATAGATGCCCCTTGGCCGTGGCTGTGTGGCTCACTATCGCCAGCTGAACAGATACTGTGTCTTCTCCCACGATGAGATGGTTTGCAACATAGCCATTAAAGCAGACACGATAGATGTCAACCTGGCCGCCACTCTGCATGAGGATATGGTTATCATGATCCAACAGGAGAAGGAACTACGAGAGAAAATCACTAAAAAGGTGAGCAGCTTCATCCTCAGTATCCAGTGTTTGTAAACATGCACATTACAGCCATCCAAAAAGAAGCACAAAATAACAGATTTCATCTATCAGACTGAAATAAGGGAGAACTTAAATTTTTTAAAGAAGATGTTTGTTACAATATAAGTTTCCACTCGAGAGATCTTGTTTTTTAGGTACACATATGTCACATTTGGCTCCTCTGCCTCTTGTGCTGCTCTAACGACTGAATCTGTGTCCCCAGGGTGTGATGCAGTCTCGACAGGTTGATTATGAGGTGCTCCCAGACGAGGCGCGGCAGTGTTTCAAGTGTCTGACCACCTGTTACCTGTCTGGCATCACCTGTGCCTGCAGTCCTGACAAGATGGTTTGCCTGTACCACACCCAGAACCTCTGCTCTTGTCCTCCTATCAACCTCACACTCCAGTAAGTAATTAATCAGAGGAACACTGCATACTCATTTTCATATTCATTTCTCTTCTCATGTACTGTCACAAGGGGTCTGCTTCAGCTGTATGGCCTACTTTAAATGTTACGTGAAGTAAAAGTTGGAGCAAGTTTTCCCTGAAAGCAAAAACATAAAAAACTAAGTACTTTTTCACAAAAAAAGTAACTTTATACTTTCACCATCTACTAGTCAACCTACAAATATTAAGCTGTGCAAGGCCAGCCTGCCTTTTTTTATAAAGACAAGGTTTGGAGCTTGCAATGTTTGGCAGAGGCAATTATGACTTTCTGCTGAAAACTGACATGGCAATTATCAGTTTATTCACCAAGTTTTGTTTTTCTTTTTTTGTCCAGTTACAAGTTTACACTGGATGAGTTGTACCCATTGATGGCATCTGTGAAGCTGCGTGCCAATTCATATAAAGACTGGGTGTCTAATGTCCAGGACATTGTGGAAAACAAAGGAACCAAGAAAAAAGGTGCCACCATAGTGATGCACTTTCTGTAATCTCAGCGAGTTACTCAAATGTTAACGTGTAGTTTGGACTCTTCTAACAAACTCTTGTTTTTCCTGGTTAGGGTTGGAGGAACTTCACATCCTGGTAGAGCAAGCGGAAACAAAGGCGTTTCCTCAAAGCAGCCTCCTAGATCAGCTGCGTACAATTGCCTCAGAGGCCGATAAAGTTTCTGTGACGGCACAGCAGCTTCTCAACGGGAAGAGGCAGACGAGGTACTGAAATCTGATTTGAAATGTTCCACGCTACTCGTGGCTCCATCTTTATTGCCGTGAAACGGCCATGTTGATTCAGTTTCATATAAGGTCACACAAGATATTACACAATTATGTCATGTTCTTGTTATTTTCTGGAACAACCTGTTTTGTGGGACAGATTTCCAGTTTGTGCTAGCGTGAGCTTACTCACATTTATGCAAATTGCTGTTGTTGAGCTCATCTGCTCGTGGTGTTTTCTTTCTTTTCTTTTCTTTTCTTTTCTTTTCTTTTCTTTTCTTGCCAGTCAAAGTGCTAAGTGGTGTGTAAATCAGTTTGAATCTGTGTTTCAGGTACCGCTCTGGGGGAGGTAAGTCCCAAAGCCAGAATGAGTTAACTGTGGAGGAGCTGAGGTCATTTGTCAAACAACTGGACAGCCTGCCATGTAACATCCGACAGGCTCCTTTACTGAAGGTTTGTTTATTTAAAAAGTAAATACAATTTTTAATTGTATAAATTTAATTATTCCAAGCTATTAGTCTCTTGAGAAAATTGCTTCAACTTCAGTCCTTATGTGTCCAAGGTTTGGCAGTATCTCTAGACTTTAGATTTGTAAGGTGTGGCCGAGGTAATATTGCAATGTCATACCTGTTGGATGTGATCTCCAGGACCTTTTGACTCGGGTGGATGACTTCCAGCAGCGCAGTGAACGCCTCCTTTCTGATGAGTCACCCAGCGCGCTGGAACTGCAGGACCTGCTGGATGTGAGTCTGGGCCTGGACGTGGAGCTGCCGCAGCTACCCCTTCTCAGAGAGAGACTGGAGCAGGCTCGATGGTTGGAGACCGTTCAGCAAGCCAGCAGTCGGCCGGACAGCTTGTGTCTGGACACGATGAGGAGGCTGATAGACCAGGGTGTGGGCCTGGCCCCTCACAGCTCTGTGGAGAGGGCCATGGCTCGTCTGCAGGAGTTGCTGACCGTGTCAGAGCAGTGGGAGGAGCGAGTGCTCAGTCTCCTGGAGGCCAGGTGAGGATATGATGGTTCACATCTTCTTTCATGCTCACATCGTGATGACAGAAGGCAGAAATGAAGAAAATCCAAGGTTATTGCAACTAATGAACTTTATGAAAATGCAGTAAAATTCACATTTTGTGTCGTGTGAAAGTGTAAAACGAGCTGAAAACTTCAGACAGAGTGAAATGTGCCACATCTGTAGAGCTGGGTCGTGGTGGATAAAAGTGGATTATGGTGCTGTGACAGGCGGGCAAACATTTTTCTTGTAAAACAAAGGGGGGCCTAGCAAAAAAAAGTTTGGGAACCACTGGCTTAACCCATTAATAGATAAACATAAACCAAATACTACAAATGAGCTTATGGTCTTTCATTTTTAGAAATGTCTATTTTATTTCTTTATCACTTGTATAAAACCTAAACATCTACACTGTTTTCTAACCCTGACGCCTCTTCACAGGCCATATCAGGGCATAGAAACCCTTGTAGCTGCTCTGCAGGAAGTAGAAAACATCCCTGCTTATCTGCCCAACTGTCTGCAGCTGAAGGATGTCGTCACCAAGGCCAAAAAATGGCTCCATGAAGCTGAAACACTGCAGGTAAAAATCATACTTTATGCTTTCAGCACTTTAGTTTGAGCAATGGGTGAAACTGAATTATTAATCTTGTCTGTGCTTACAGCTTGGGGGACGTATTCCTGTGCTCGACATTCTCTCTGAGCTGGTTCTCAGAGCAGAGGGCATCCCAGTGAAGCTCGACCCGCTCAGTCGACTGGAGGCCCTTGTCAGTGATGTCAAGAGCTGGAAGGAGACGGCCGCAAAGACATTCCTATTGAAAAACTCCCCTTTCTCACTTCTAGAGGTAAATGCGTATGCAAATGTGGCTGACCAATTTAATCATTATGCATCAGTATGAAAATTTAGTGCCAGATATCACAAAACTACAAGTGTGGCAAATTACCTGAACTTGAAAAGCGCCTCTAATAATTTGTCATCATGTTTTCAGGTCCTCTGCCCAAGGTGTGACATCGGATCTGCACATCAGAAGTCAAAATCTAAAAAAGTGAAAGAAGCTCCACAGATCATTAAAAAGACTTTAACAAAACTGGACTCTTTGTGTGATGTAGAGAGAGCTCTCTCTGAGAGTAAGGACTCTGCCTCTGCTGTAAGTATGGCTGCATCAAATTTTATTTTTTTCTCTGGTAACTTTTTCAGTATAGTTAGGACTAAAAACCAGCTCTTGTATAGTTTCCTTTACTCCAGAATCCTCCTTTGCTAAGAAGTGCTGTTTTTTTTTTGTTTGTTTGTTTTTTTAACTTATAAACAGATAAAAACTGATCTTTTTTATTTAGTCACTTGTTCTTCCTTACTCTGTCAGTAAATATTGTCTATGAATGTGCCATTTAACCTAGTATTAGAAGCAGTGACTCTGACTCTATCTTGGTCACCTTTAGTAGGTTAACTTAGCATTAAACAAGGTTTAGTAGGCACAAATCTATGTAACAATGAGTGGAGGGTTCCTCGGAAAATGAATGGGGGGAAAAATATGATTTCCTTTATTAGAAGTCTTATCAGGGAAAGTTCATATATTAATAGAGACATTGGCATTAGGCTTCAGGTTAGTTTTTAATTTCATCTAATTTTCTCTCCTCACAGATGACCACTCTCGCAGAGGTGCGACAGAGGGAGATGGAGATCTTACTGTCTCTGAGGTCTTCAAACGAGTCCAAGCTCCTTCCTGCTGAAAGCTGTTGTGCACTTACTGTTTGTGTTTGCCAAAAGCCTCCCTCAGGAGCCATGATGCAGTGCGAGCTCTGTCGAGACATTTTCCACTGCGGGTGTGTTACAACAACCGCAGAACTTGAGTACGGTCAGGCCTGGCTGTGCCCGCTGTGCCAGCGGTCGAGAAAACCACCCTTGGACAAAGTCCTGCCCCTGCTGGCCTCCCTTCAGAGGATTCGTGTCCGACTGCCAGAGGGCGACGCTCTGCGGTTCCTCATCGAGAGGACTGTGAGATGGCAGCACAGAGTCCAGCAAGCCTGCGCAGATGGAGTACTCGAGAACGTGTCAAAGATGGTCAGTGGCTTTTATTTTGTAAACATTGTTCATTTAAGTTAAGCGTTTGTGGTCTGAATTATTGTGATTCACCATCGGGGGTCCCGTTTTCTAGACACCATCATGGAAACACTAGACACTGAGCATTTACAGTCCCTGATGGCGTTTTTAATTGTTTCAGGTGAGAGTTGGACCTAGAGAGTCTTCACATTTGCCTCAGGAAAAAAATGGGTCAGCTTTTTATACAGAGCACAAGTCTATTCCGCTCCACGGTAAGTGTCAAAGCTTTTTCATTTAAGCACTCTGTGCAGTTTGACTTTTCAGAGCAACTCTGATGCTCATTTTGTTTCAATTTATCACAGGACTTAGTCCTGAGCTGGAGGAGCTGATGGTGGAGGGATTCCTGCTGCAGGTCACTCTGCCTGAGACTGAGCAGCTGTACAGATATCTACTCTACAAACTGGTCCCCCTGCCCTCACAGAGCCCTCCCTGTGGGAACAGCACAGAACAGGACCAGAAGTCTCCAAAAGGGAGCCCTCAACACAAGGTAACAGCTCCTACTAAGTGTCACACCAAATGCATTATGCCATAATGCTCTTGTTTATTAAGTCCACTTTCCGTATGTTGTGCTTAGAATGGCGTGTCGAGCCTGAAAAAGGAGGCCGTGAAGAGTCAGAGCAAGCGGACCAAGCGACGTAAGGACAGCTCCGATTCTCAGCACAGCGAGAAGGCCAAGAAGTGTCGCAAGAAAAAGCCCAAGAGAAGCAAAGAAAGGAGCGAAGAATCGAAGAGAAGCGGTTCACCCACGCACACGTCGTCTGACCCTGCTCTTTCAGATTCAGAAGAGGACTACTCGCTGTGTGCTGCACCGTGGTGCAGAGAGCCAGAGGGTGATGAGGTGAATTTCATTAGTCTGCTGCATTTACACCAACTTATGTAAATACGGATCACTAACTTATGTGCCTGTATAGCTGAAGTTTAAGTGTACAAAGTGAAAATTTATTTTATCTCGTCTTGTCATTTTTAGGTAAACTGGGTCCAGTGTGACGGCAACTGCAATCAATGGTTTCACCAGATCTGTGTCGGCCTGTCTGCTGAGCGTGCGGAGAAGGAGGATTATGTTTGCATAAGCTGCACACAGCCAGAATACAGCAGAGCAGAATAAAGACCAAAAAGTCATGTTGAAGGATGAGCAGATTTACTGCAGATGCTGCAGCACTTAAGTGCACACCTGAACTCTGTGTGTCCTGCGGCTTCTCCCCTTTACCTTCTGGCTTGCCCTCAGTGAACATGGTGCTACTTCTTTTTCCCCAGAGTTACTAAAGACTTCTGTCACTGTTTTGTTTTGTTTGTCACATGGCTGGGTTTTCAGCCAGTCAACTAATCCTTTCTGAAACTTTCCAAGACTCAATGCAGATGTGGTAACATGTTTCAAGAACCAACAGCGCAGGGATTTTTCAACCAAAAAATGTCAGTTTGGCATTTTAGAACCGTTTGTTTTTCTTTTACATGCATCTGAACAATGTGAACCTTATCTTTTTTTTCTTGTAGAGTAAATATTATTTATCTAAGCAATAGCTGAACAGATTAATTGAAGGTTCAGTTTTCACCTGAGCTATATTTGTGCGTAGAAAAACTTTGATAAAATGCCTTCCTAAAGCAAAAACCCTGAAGAATTCACTTTATGACCCTATGATACACAGTTCACTTCAAATTTGTGTACACGTCAAAACCGAAATGGATCAACGATCCTTTCACGAACCACTGACTTTGATATAAAGTCAGGTTTTCCTTCTGCGATGTCTGCAGAGGAAAGTAAAAGTCCTGGATCCCATATTCCTGCTGTTGGGTGAGACTCAATTAAAGCCACAAAGTAAGAATGAACTGTCCGACATCAAAGGAATGTACATGTTGTTTTTTGGGTGGATTTTCCCTTTATGGCTGAGGCTGATATATGTGTTGGACTTAGATTTAACACAGACTGTGTGATTTATTTTGCCACGGGTATATGACCTTTTTCCTGCTCCTTTGGGTAAATAATATAATTCATATGTTGCAGTTTGCATTATAAAATAAAACGTTTGTTCCTGTACGGCTGGACTCCTCAGTACTCGGCGTTGAATACCATGAAAGTTAGAGTTTGTGGATTTTCAGCTGTTTTTTTTTTTGTTTGTTTTTTAAATTGTATTTTTTTTTTCCATCCATTTTGGAAGAGGAAAATATGTTCAGTGATCCTCAAGTCGGCAGGAAATTAACACAGGTCACAGGTAAACTGATCGCTTTAGAAACAGAGACACTTCAACCTGTTGGGGAGACTTTGGAATTGATTTCATCTCCTTCGCTTAATAACTGTGAGCTTATAGCATACTTCATTCAGTAGAAAACACAAACTTGAGTGGGGGGCATTTATTTGTGATTGTTTAACAGACACAGGTATTCATTGCCACTAATATAATTCCTCATATGTAAATTCAATTAACTGCACAAAGAGCTAAGCATACACACACTATCACAGGCTCCAGTGTCTGCTGGCAAGCCAAAAATGAAATTCACTTGAGTTCTTTCTCAAGCACAACTTTTGACATACTACTCTTTTAAAACCCAATAAAGGGTTGTTTAGTTGGCTATCCTATTTATTTGAACAGTTTGTAATTTAAAAGTCTATACTGTACTCTGAGCCTCACATGTTTAGATACACTAACTTTGTAAAAATTAATATATAGCCCTTATTTGTGGTCAACGCTAACGTACAGGGAACAGTATGCCACAAGATACAGGTAAGAAGGCTGATGACCAAAGAGGAGAGGAGTTGTGCATGAGTCCGATGGCTAAGCTAACAGGTATACATCACAGGTGGTCTTACTGAACATTATGTGGATGGAGTCTCCACCAGTTAGATTTATTAATTCTATTGAATGAATTATAATAATAAAAAGAGTGACCTATGCAAGTTTTCAGCAGAGTCTGACCCAATCTTTCAGAATTAAAAACAATGTAGTATGTGACCAATAGAGGGCGTCAAAGTAAAGGCATAAATTACATCGTCTTGACGCGTGCTCAATCATCCAGGTAAGTAAATCTCCAAAAGTTGACTCTGTTCACCTGGAGGTAGGAGTTTCAGTGGGAGAACCGTTTCGTCACTCATCCAAGTGACTTTTTCAGTCTCAGCTGACTGCAGGTTTCCCCTTCTTATAAACAGCACATTTGCATAATGACTGAAACCAGCCCACTGAAGGAACAATGGGCTGTAGGTCACCTTCATCATAATTATGCAAATTCTCATGACCATTGATCAACAACCACTGATCAAGGCCCACTGATCAATGGCCACGAGTCCCATTCACAGAGAGTTGGGGAATGGCTGCAACCACAGCATTGTAAGATGGTAAAAGGTTTTCGTTTAGGCAGCGGTTATCCTTCTCTCCTGGATCGGCTGGAGCTTTCTTTTGGCGGCCCCAGCTTTGACAAAAGTCCAGCTGGGATAACCACATTTACTCAGGGCCTTCTTGATGTGATGTTCTTCTGCTTCCCTGGCCGCTGTATCTGTGGGGATGGTGTTCACAATAAGACAAACAAACAGAGTAACATAGTGTACGCTGTTAAGTGCCAGGAGGATTGCCAGGATTTATACATCGGGGAAACCAAACAACCTCTGGCAAAGCGGATGGCACAACACAGAAGAGCCACCTTGTCAGGCCAGGACTCTGCAATCTATTTACACCTACAGGCCAGTGGACACTCTTTCAATGATGAGGATGTACACATCCTGGACAGGGAGCGCGGTGGTTTGAGCGCGGTGGTTTGAGCGCGGAGTCAAGGAGATTTACGTGAAAAGGGAAAGACCATCTCTGAATCAAGGAGGGGGCCTAAGGGTACATCTTTCGCCATCTTACAATGCTGTGATTGCAGCCATTCCCCAACTCTCAGTGAATGGTACTCATGGTCTTTGATCAGTGGGCCTTGATCAGTGGTTGGTGATCAATGGTCATGAGAATTTGCATAATTATGATGAAGGAACTGACCTCACAGGGATGTTAAACTCTTTTTTTTTTTAAATCACATACAGCCCACTTTGATCTTAAACCGGCCAGACCACTGAAACCCTCCTTTCTATTGTTGTAAAGACGATTACCTGCACATTTAACCCCTTAAGTAGTTTAATATAAGAAAAAGAAGTACTATTCTGACAGTATATCCTACATTTTCCACATGATATAGAAATTCTGCTGGAGGAAATGAAAGAAATCTTTCAGTGCTACACTTTGGGCTTAAATTTGAAGAAATGTGTAAAATTAGAGAATAAATTCTGGTTACTCAGCCCAGACAGTCTGTGTTCTTCTCTAAAGTAGACAAGGCAGGACGTGGATACTCTCAGTTTTGACAGACTCACTTAGTGCACACTTTAAATAGTTTAGGCCTCTGTAATGCATGCATGCAAATCTAAAGAAACTATTTTCACATCCTGTAAAGCTTTACCATCTGCACCTTCTGTAACATTACATTTTCACTAATCTAAGAGATCATTTTTGTTGGCCTAATGCTATTTTACTCAACAGTCCTGTTGTTGGTTATAATGTGCACAATGTAATATGTGAACTTTTAGTGCCTTCAGAAATGCCTTAAACAGTTGTGCTAATTATATGAACTACTTAGTTTATATTAGTAAGAAGTAAATAGTAAACATTCCTCTGGTTTTTACAAAGGTCTACCTGAAGATAAATTGGTCACATGCAGTACTATGCAAATGTTTTAATCACTCCTCATTTCTTTATATTTTGTTTACAAGAAGCCAGAGTTTCTATTGTTTTATTTCTTTTAAGTGCTCTTGAGCAATACTTCACAAAGCTTTCTGAATGTCTTCTTTTTACCTGACCATTTTCAAAGGAATGGGTTTTTTTTTCTTTGTTAAACCACTTAACCCTGAACCATGCACTTCAATAAGGCTGCAGAACTATTCCTAAAGACTGCTTAACAAATTATGAGAAAGCTTGCCTAGGACATCTGAGATTCCAGTGATTGTACCAAATAGTGGCTTTTGAGCTCATTAGAATTGCACAAACTCAGTTTTTTCCTTATATGTTGTATTTCCATGTATGTTTTTAAAGTTTAAATAAATCACTGCACCCTTTCCAGTTTTCCATGCAAAAGTTTACCATTTTAAGTACTAAACAAAGGAAACTCCAATCGGTTTGAGCCTGAAAGTCTAAACTCAGGAAGAGAACCCATGAATGGGGGCGTGGCCTACAGCCTACCGCCTCGCCATTTTCCTCCTGTGTTGTTGTTAGCTTGCTGGCTAAGCTGACTGTCAGCCCGGTTTCTGCAGTTAAACGAGTCAGTGCATGATTTAAATACAACAGGTGTGTTATTGCAGCGGTTCCCGACGTCCCTGCTTTCCCCGTGACCATGGACGAGGAATATTACAGCGGTTCCGGAGACTGGGAAGGCACGGAGGGTAGCATGGTGAGATCGCGACTTGTTGCTGTTTGGCTCTCGGTTAGCTAGCCAGCATTAGCATCGCTGGAGTCACAGCAGCTGGTGATTGTCAGACCCTTGTTATCTTTAATACAAGAGCTGATGTGCTGAGACAAGTGATTCCGGTACTCTAAAGATGCATTGTATAGTTTAAACTCAGCGGCTTGGCTACTTTGTTAGCCAGCTGCAGGCTAATTAACGACACAGCTGCTTCATGTTCATGTTACAAACTGGTGATCAACTCGCTATAGGTTCAAGTTTGTTTTATTTCTGACTAAAATATCTGATAAAATAAATTGACATATTTTATCTCTGATTTGGAACAACAGAAAACAGAATCGACTGTTTTGATAGTGTTCACACAGTCGTGGTTACAAAGGACAAATCGCACCTGTGTCAATTCTAAGGTTTTGTAAATCAGGACATGATAAAAATTGAACCACTTTGGGCCAAGCTTTAGCTGTTGGACCATTTGACTCTAGAACACTTTGGTATACCGAGGAGCTCATAGTTGACTCAATGTTTACAAGACGCTCAGGTCCTGTGGCTGCAAAACGAGTCCAAATCATCAGCCCTCCATCATGAACTTTAACCTTAACATGATAACTGAAGTCTGTAGAGTCTGAGATGTAGTTCTTGGGTTTTTGCAGTTTTTCTGAGCATGGCATGCTCTGACCTTGAGGTTAATTTGATGGGATGGATTCTCTGGGGAACAGAGACACCTGAATGCTCCAGAGCAGCAAACTGCCAGTTAGGGCTGCCACGATTGGTCGACTAGTCACGATTAAGTAGACTATCAAAATCGTCGACGACTGATTTAGGCTATGTCCACACCTACACTAGTATTTTTGAAAACGGAGATTTTCCGTTTTCGTTTTAAAAAATAATCCCGTCCACACGTAAAGGCAGAAATGAAGGAAAACGCTGCTAGGAACATGCCAAAGCAGCAGGTGGCGCTATATTCCTAACCGTGTAGAAATGTTGGCCAATCAGAAGTCTAGAAGCCTCGGTGGGAAAAAGTAAACAAAGCTGGGGCCAGTGACTTTGTCGCTATATTTAGCGAGTTTTCAGACCCCCTAGCGACTTTTTTTCTAAAAAAAAGTTGACTTTTTAAAAAAAAAAAAAAAAAAAAATCGCTAAAAGCGCATATCGCTTTTACTCTCAACAAGCAGCGGGTGCTGTAACGCAGTCAGTTCTTCTTTTACTCTTTTACTGTTATGCTGTTTTGTGGATCACAAGGTTTAAAACTACTTATAAACACACACACACAAAGTAACTCCACCAGAGTGCCTATTTCGGGTCACTTTTGCCGGTCCGGGTAAAGGAGCAGGGTTGGAATCGTGACATTAAAAAACAATAATTGCTAAAATAAATTTAATTTGTAGTTCTAAATAAACTCTAAATGCATTTAGGACGTTTTTTACTCACTTTATGTCTCTTCCACGATGTTATTTCTCTCTCCAACAGCATAGGTTACAATTACATTTTAACCAAAACCAATTATGCAAATTACTTGATGACGTCATTTAGTGACTTCTAGCTACTTTTAGGACAGCCAATAGCGATTTTCCTTACTGAGGAGTTGGCAACACTGGCTGGGGCATAGAAGCAGAACCAAGTGGCATTTAAACACTGCAGAGAGTACAATTAACAGTAACAGTATTGCAGAAATTAATTTCACCGAAACAATAACGTGGCGCACACTGTGACGTCAAAAAAGGCGCACATCTTTGAAGCTGCGTTGTCTGCGTTTTCTCCGTTTTTCTGTCCACACATAAATGCAAAAACTGAGTTTTAGAAAATACCCACCCTGGCCGGAGTTTTTAGAAATCTCCGTTTTCAGTGACCGAAAACGCCGTTTATGTGTGGACGAGAGGTGCAAACGCATAGAAAAATCTGCGTTTTCAACAATACCCGGGTACACGTGGACATAGCCTTAATGGTCGAGGCATTGTTTGAAGCTTTGTAAGATCACAAAAGTCGCAAGAATAAGTAGTAGAATTTACGAGTGTAATAAGGGACTGAAATAGAAGATGGTAGCACTGCATGTACAAGCCAGCTGGTTAAACCCCGAAGAAGAAGAAGCTGTGTCCCAGAATTCATAGCACGGCCCTGTTCAGTTTCCAGCAGTGGCGGCAGCTAGTTAGTTTTAATATTACTCTATAATTTCTGGGTTACAAAATAAAGGCTTAACATATTTT